TTAAACACTTTTCACCCAAAATGGAAGTGCGGACATCTACAGTCTCCTGGAAGTTACAGTCGCGGGAATGTTTCGGTCGAATAAAATTACGGTACTGGTTGTGTTCATCTGCGCCCAGCTTCCGTAGCAACAACCGTACTTTGCTCGCATCATCAAGCGTGATTGCGTCAACCGGAAAGATGTTTTCATAACGCCTGTACCAGGTTGCGAATGTGATGTCCTTCTCTGCGTCATATTGGAAATCTTGCATTCCGTTAACCAACGCTGCAGCTGAAGTGGGCTCAGTTTTCACTGTGGCTTGTCTCTGTTCTTGTTGAAGCATAACCCGATATTGTTGGATGTAAGCTTGCTCTTGTTGTAGTAATTAGGTTAGCTGTGAATGATCAGCCATCACTGTCGCCAATGTAATAATGGCGGTTGATGGGGGATAGGACCGTCAGAACAAAGGCTTTCACCGCACCGGACAGTGTATTGACCAAACGTTAATTCACGTGAAATAAGCAACACAGCTGACATATATAGGGTAAGATGTGAGGATGTGTCAGACAGGCCGCCTCGCATGATTGGTGGCCTCATGCACACGAACCCCGGTAGAAAAGTGGGTGAGGGTGAAGTTCACCGGAGTGTTCAACACGTGGAACCAAAACCGACCGAAATTGGATTGTGTGGTCGGGTACGACAGCGGTTTTGGGAACCATTGTGGGCGGGAGAATCAATAACAAGCGATAAATGCATCTGGACATGCAGATATATATGGTCACAAATTTTCCTTATTGTGTTATTTCGATTTTAAATTTAACATATTTATGTCTTTATTTTAACTCTTATCACTTCAGTAAAGTATTTCCTTCATTTTAACTTTAATTTTACATTCAGGTTTCGTTCCATTATGCTTATTAACATAATTCTTGCGCTGTTTTTCTGCTACTACGCTGTTTTCAAGAACGCTAGCCGAAAAATTTTCCCGCCATTCCATATGATAGACACTCTCGAAATTCACGGACCGAGGTGTGGGACGACGTTGTACCTTTAAGACACCGAATCGCCTGTCGTACGAATTCCTAAATTAGTTAGACAGAAATGCTGCTGCTGAGCATGATGAAGGAACGTAGACCGGTTCCGTTGGTGAAACGTGGTTCACATCCAAATGCCCCCAGGTATTCTTCCTTCGAGTTTACACCCACACCATTGCTAGGGCTCCATCATGCTCATCATCATCACTACGCGTTAGCTGAGGGTGACAAACACACCTCAGCTAATGTACCGCAATACAAAAAGCTAAGACACTAAAAATTACGCAAATTACATCATACACAAAATATGATGTGAAATATCACATTTTGACCTTTTGCATGACATCGGAATTGGAGGGGAATCTAACGAACAGCCACCAAGGCAACGCGTGGACTGTCCGGTCTAAGTTACTTACTTCGTGTACTCGTTGTGTTCTCATTAGAATACCGACGGCTTCGCGGAGATCTTACTCTCACATACCGGATACTAACTGAAAGCGAGCATCCATGTAGATCACTGTTGACTTTAGCCCCTTATAAACAAAGCCGAGGCAATCACCTGAAACTAATGACGCAACACTCCCGTCTGAATTGTAGAAAGTATTTTTGCTCATTTAGAATCTGTTCTCACTGGAATATACTACCAAGATATGTGATGAACGCACCAGACTCTTAGACTTTCATCTTAGTTATAAACGCTACACAACAGTTTGATAAAGTGCAATGGTTTAGCCACTTATACTTCACCGTCCACGTTGGAACACTTTGATTTTAATTTTCCTTTGCATATCCATCCTGTGGGTCTTGTAAAGTTATGCTTTTTACCCAATCATACACTATTGAACTAAAGGGAAGGGGATGAGTAAAGAAACTCACAACACAAACGCCATTGGGGCCAGCTCTTCGCCATATCAACAAGTGTGTCTAACCAGACGTGTTCATCGGCCTTAGGACCTTAGCCAGGCAGTCGGGATACACCGACCGACGCCAGTTTCGAAGTAAGGTTTTTCATTCCTCTCGATCAAGTCATCGCTCGGCCTCCCGTCCTCCTCTATCAACCGCACCCCCGGCGCGCAAACAAGGCAGGTCGCGGGAGTCGGTGTGCTGACATGCGCAACACGTCATCCAACCACCGGAGCATGGTGCGGGATCTTATGGTGCTGAGCGATTCACTCGGTCTTCCTGCATCAAACACGCGACACCGAACACGCTCATTGCTCGCGCGCTGCTGCCAACAGACATGAGCTAAGCTACGAGGGCTGCGATAATCGTATGTGACTGGCCTCTTTGTGTCTGTCGACCTGATGGACCAAATTTCACAACTATATAGAAGGGTTGTACGGACGGCTGCATAATAAATTTGAGGCATGCCAGTCTTAGCGAGACTCTAGAACTTCAAAGTAAAGCGAATGAACTGACGTTGTCCGCTTTGTTGAACATGGACTTGGCGACTGGATTGGAGCAACGCCTTGCAACTATGTGTGATTTGAAACTTGAAGACAAGGGACTATTGAAGCAAGGTGAGTGAGGGCCAAGAATCGATGAATTGAAAATGGAGGGGGGATAAAAGTAAAGTTGGAGCGGGACGATAAGGATGACGAAGCGCAAGAAGAAGGATAAGAAGACGGTAAGGCCTGAGCAGTAACATCAAAATCTCTATTCACCCTGCTCGATGCAGAAGATAGGGCGCAGTTGATTATCCTCTACGACGGCCAGAGCATCAAGAAATTGTTAGAAGAAAGGTTCATTGTATTGCGTAGGCAGAATACTGTCAAGTTACCCAGACGTAGACAGGAGAACGATTTGGGTTCTCAACCAAGGTTCAAAAACCTTACCACAAGGCAGAGGGGTTTTTGCACTGGACTAAAGAGAGCCCGTTTTATGGAGTAAGGAGCCACCCTCAATCCAACTCACAACTTGGAGGACCAGGAGGTTGATTTTGTCTGGCCTCTGACCATTGACCGATCTAGTATGAGTGGCTCTGAAGGTGTAAACACCACCACCCAGCATAGCTCAATGGATCACTGAAACGCACAAACCATCACACCACCTTAAGGTCCAGTCTGGTCGCGATCGTCCCTAGGGCTACGGGGGCACTTTGAACTATTGCCGTTATTGTCACTGTGCAACAAGATTTTCGCTACTACAGTTCTTATGTAGCTTGAGCATGCTAAATTTAAATCTGACATTTGATTCCTTCTGCAAGTTATAGATTTTCGTGAAATTGACCACAACTTCATTTTTCACGCCTTTCAGTTGCTTTTCTGTAGATCACATTGCCAGCTACGTTTCGCTGCAAAGAAACTGACAGCAATTCTTATATATTTTGAGCATGCTGTATTCAGATCTACTATTAGCTTTCTCTGTAGGCTGCCGATTTTTGGTATTTCGACTGTAAAGGCTTTTTGCAAAAAACGAGTTTTCACAATTATAGTCTAGTGTGTCTTACTGCCCCCAGCTTTAGGGGAAATTTATCAAGATGACTGGTCAATAAATGCAACTTGACGCTCATTTTGCACCCAATATCGTGAAATTTCAACAACATCCTGTTAATTTGTTTCTCACGCACAAAGTCATTCTATTCTTCTTGACTGAATTGCTTGGGGGCCGATGAGAATTCAGCATGTTGCAGAGTCTACATAAATTGAAGCCGATTCTTCTTCACGCCCACTGACTTCATCATCTGATAAAGCAGAACGTTTAAATTTTGGAACTGGAAGCTGTTCCGATTCGAATGGGTTGAATTGCGTTGGAAATACTGGGATAAGAGATATTGTGCTGATTTTCATTGCCAATATCTTTTGTACTAACCATGCGAAAATAGCAGTCCGTTATGTGATTTTAGGTTCTCGCAAAACCATGGGAATTCTAAATGGCAGACCTTTGCGTTTACCTTTTGTCCATTCACGAAGTATTTCCTCACAATAATGGCACACAATGTGAGGTGCCCATTTTTGGTCTTGGTCACCAAGGGGTATTTCATAGTATCCTTTATAGAAACATTACAAACGAAGTGATATTTCTCCTTTGACGAACTAGCGTATAACAGTTTTATACCTAGCAAAATGCATCGGACTCATTTTCACCTGTACCTTGACCTGAGTGTGCCATGGTCATATCTGAAACGAAATCGCATTGGTATTTAACTTTCTATTAATGTAAAATCTCAAAATGCACGAAAACTAGAGCATGCAGAAAACACGGGTTGTAGGTTTGAAATTCATATAATATCAGTTTAAAACTCTTGCTGCAAAAAGTTGAAAAAAGTTTGTTGCCCTGTGTTATCAATGTCAGTATGCAACTTCTGTTACCAAATTTTGCACGAAATGACGGCATTATCTCACAACCTGCGTCTCTTGACATTTTTATTTGGAATTACAGATGGAGTTTATTGTTTCAGAATATAGTCTCGAGTTTGCTCTTAGGAGTATATCTCGTATATCAACTGATTTTCATGCTGTCACACTCAGTTGCTTCTTGCTACTCCGACCACGATCAAACATTACACGCGCGAGCTCCGTCGGTGCATATCGCGTCCTACTACGTAACCCGCAATAGTGACGCAGTCATTCGGCCAACTAAATCTCTACCACGGCTTCGTTACAAGGATCAGAATTACGCACTGGTTTTATAACCTTTTTATAGTCACTTCATTTGTGACCTGTGTTGCCACTCTCTTCCCATTTTCTTATTTTTGTGAGGTAATCAATTCCCTCATGTATTTTTACGTGTGGCGGTTTCCGAACCAGCGTTAACACTGTGTCACTAGCCGTCGTATTGGGATGATAATCCCTGCTTAGAATAACTGAGAATTTGTTTGCGAAGACTTACTTATTCATCGGAATACAATTTCGAAAATGCAAAACACATTCAGTTTCTATTTCCATCGTCTTACTATGTCTCCTGAAGCTCCCATCTTTACCGGACGAATCCTTTTCTTTGGTGGGAAATTCGCATTTGATCCACCTCATTGTTCTATTACTGCAGCTTGTTTTAGGCGCTCCATTTTTGTTCCACAACCCCGGAGCTTACATTGCCAGCGCTTTCAACTTTGGTCGCCAATTTATGTACAAGTGGACTGTGAACTGGCGTCTTTTGTCAGAAGACGTTTTTCTGGATCGAAGATTCCATCTGGCCCTGCTGTGCCTGCACTTTTTGTTTTTGTTTGCTTTGCTGTTCCATTTTGTACGGTAAGTCGCCAAATACCATCCGCGTTGCTGATGTTCCCTTGTGATAATTTGTGCTATTGCACTTATGAGCTGTGGCGTAACATGCATCATGGCTTTTGAGTTGGTCAGCTTTTACCCATTAACTTTGCTAAGAGTATCGTTCACATGAATCGTCGGTATCCATTTCATCACTATGTTTCAACCATAACCTTGGATTTGCGGCATTTGAATATGGCTAACCAGGGGCTAAACAATGGAAGCGCACGTAATCCAGTATCAGCCAATACATGACCTAGAAGGCCAACCAGTGAAGTAAATGCTCGGTTCAAGCAATTTGCGTCTTCAAGGTGAAATTCATAAGGGATTCTTGCTCATTGAACAATCAGATCACTATTGTAAACAATTCCTTATCTTTCTCTGACCCTATCGAAATTTGTCGGAAATATTTTCGTCTTTTGATTTTGAGTGTTTGACGGAGCGGTAGCATCGTATCACACGTATAGTCAGAATGGGTAAACTTCCACAGATAACACCTGAAGACTGAATTTTAATTAACCATCAACACCTTGAATGCCACGCGCAGTTCGACGTAGCGTCTACACGTTACACAATATCATTTTATCACTCCAGTTTTGATTCGGTTTGGTTTCGCTCGTATTCCTCCACCTTTATTAGTGGAGATACTCTGAATTCTTCAACCGGTTTCCCTTCAACTTACCATTATCCGTGTCAGAATTATCGCAGTCTTGCACACGTTATTTTTCAAAGTCCCCATTGTAAATTCCAAGAGATTTATTTGCCCTTGACTTCCGTCTCATTCACTCCTACCTGATATTTTGCTTCAGTAGCAGTGCTTTTTTTAACCCTCCCCAGCTAGCCATCACGATCGCTTGGACTTCCGTTACTGCTTGATCACCCAATAGGCTTACTAGACACCAGTCATCATGGACTGCTTCGTCGCCCACTCTTCTGGTTTCCGCATATCTTCTTTCTCGATTAACCTATTTTTAGCAATGAATTGATGGATAATATCGCCATTACTGTCCACTTTACAGGTCTCGTGGTGGTATCATGAGCTTCTTGGAGCTACACAATCCGGGACGAAGTCCACGGAAGGATCAAAATGGTGGGTGTTTCAACACGTTTTCATTTTTATCGTGGCGTCGCCTACAGTATCCGTTCACTGTTGTGATCTGTTACTTTACTTTTTCCTTAGAATCAGGTTTGCATATCTTCCGAATGGAATCTGACGGTCCCATGTTATGCACGCTTCTCAATCGCTGTTTCAGTCGTCTCCAACAGTTAATTGTGATTATATTTTCTTGGAGTGTCCGACTTCCGTTTTGCCAACTTTTCCGAGTATACATCGTTTGGTTTTTGGAGTAACTCAGCCTTGTGTTTGGAGTTCGTCAACTGTCTTAATTTGGATTACGGGTTGCTCTGAAGTATACCTAGGCCATTGCATTCCTCGGGATCACTCTATCCGTGAAGTGGAGGAGTTTCAGTGTTGATCGCTCTCAACACTGCACTCCACGATGCGTTTCCTCCTGCTTTGGAACTCAACAGCAAGGGATAATCTTTGTTGGGAATGAAACCTTAAACCTAGTGGATGACTCTTTGAACACTGCTCGCGGAGATCCATGGTGTGTTGACAAAGGCGTCAGTCATCAACTACTATGTTAAAGGTTTCATTCCCAGCTGCGACTAATCCTGGCTGGTGTGTCTAGGCAAGGACGAAACCGGTCGTGCAGTGCAGTGTTGAGAGCCTGCAACAACGTGACCCCTGCATTCCGACTCTGATTGGCTACATGAACCACAAGTAGACGGTGAGAGGTGTGATTTGTATTGTGTGTCAACGTGCTAACCACTTGGTTCGAGCTACGGAGACGTGCTCTTCATCGTCTGAGATATGCTTCAAATTTGCATAAATCTCGAAGCTGTTTATGCGAATTCATTGAACGGAAATTAAAGATTTCGTCAAGATCCCTCATTGGAGCTTCATTCCGATTTGTCATCAAGAACCTGATTATGGGAGTGCCTGCGATCAAGTTGTCCTAACTCACGTTGCTAAATGTTTGGAACTCTCAAACAGAACGATAGAAAGGTGATACAAGGGAGTTTCTGCTTTTTTAAAATCTCAGCGCTGTGTTTATTACAGGTTTTACCGATCGAAGTAACCGCTGCTCATTTTTAGCATAAACCACAACTCTGACGAAATTTGCGTGTCCAGGCCCAGGCATGGTAGTCGTGAGGTTGCCAAAGACGCGCTTAAATTTTGGCTGCAAACCATCGGACACGCGAAGAACGCACCAAGCCAGCATGATCATTCCACGTTCACCACCTGCTCATATTCCAATAATTTCCTTAATGGCCAGATTGATAGATTTCAGCACTGTTTCCCCAGGTACCTCAACGAACTACCTCGTCGTTGTGCTGGCTGAGCGATTCGAGCTTACCACGTTCCAACATGTCCGCAACGATGATGTGCATAGGCGATAATCACCCCGCTACTTAACATAACAGGTAGCACTGACTATGCTGCTTTGGCTTGAGCACCTACTACTTATGTCCGATCACCGCTTACCGAAAAGGGCGTTGTTTTTTTGCTAGACGTAGGTTTACGCAAAGCACGTGGTGGACAAAACTTGACTTGGTAGCGGGAAATGTAGTAACTGGATACCAAACTGGGTGATCTTGGTCCGTTTCGCTTTGCAGGCTGGAATCCACGTGACCCGCCTTGTGCCTGGCTTGAAATCTTACAGGACTTGGCTCGCAGTGGACACCAGTGGCGTTCCTGCTATTGTCTGCTAATCGAATTGCCTGTTTAAGATGTGTTTGGTGCTGAGTTATCTGCGGGGTAATGACTCACTATGATCCGAGGCAGTTCGATCCTCAAGGAAGCTGTTTCGCCAATGCCTCCTTATCTTTGTACTATAACCAGCGGTTTGTGACGGTACGTTGTTGACAAGATGTAGGCGTCTTGATTTTGTATGTTTGCCTAGGGCATTGTTTTTTTGCACTAGGCCATTTTCTCTCTTATTGTTCTTCGTTCCATAGGTGACCGTGGTTTCAAGGCAGCGAAGGGTTAATCCAAATGACTAATGTAATGCTGTTGACTATGATAATTATGAATGGCCCGGCGACAGTGTCTTTTGATATGGTGGGTTTTCGTTTGACAAGCGTTGTCTCTTTGACGAAACCGTTGTCGGTTGTACAACACCGCGACATGTATTTCTTCCAGCAACAAATGAAGTCACTGTCACTTGGTTCACCCTATTGATTGCTGCGGACTGCGATTAGCGTCTCCCGATTGCTTTTTTATGATGTTTCAACGACTCTTTCTCGTTGGATTTCTTCGTGCATTGGAATTATTTCGTGGAAATCATGGCGGCATTCAGTTTAGTTTCTTCTTCCGAATTTTTCGACTATAAATGTTTATCTCCTTCTAATTTCAGAACTCTTACTATCGCTCTGTGCTCCACAATCGGCCACCATCTTGGTCTCAAATTTTTTTATAACACCAAAACAATCAACCTGCTTTGCTAATCCCAAGTTTGCCGGACATCGGGCAGATGCATTCATATCTATTGTATGTGACGCTAACGTCCACATTTAATGCGTTGCACCATCGATTGAGCATTTTCGCTGTCTTCGTGAAAGCCAAGCTGATTTCGTTAAAATTTTGCGCAAGAATTGCCGAAACGAGCTACACCGGAAAAAGCAAGGCTGTCACATGTCTACGTGCTTGCCTTCTATCCGAGTAGTCACGTCTGTTTGGCCCAAGAAGCTAGCCTGAATCGTCTTCAGGTTTCAGATACGCTTTCTTGCAGACTCACTGCCAGGAAGTCTTGACGTTGCGAACACCTCAGTTTCCCCTAACACGAATTGCTTATCTGTCTTGTGTTCTACGGGAGCTGATGTCCTAGTGTGTGACAGCTTGAGTACTGAAGACCTGTGGGACGCATATAGAAAGTGAAAGCAACAGTGAACAGAGTTTAGTCACCGTAATTCAACCGGTATACCCATCGTCCTGCAGGACTAACTATGGCTGCTCAGAGCCCTTTTAACTTCATGATTTTTTACGCACTTGAGTCCAGTGATCCAACTTCCGAGATACGTTACGATCACAACGTCGAGTTTTTGTAGCCACAAGTTGAGAGTGAAGCTAATTATTCATCCTGGAAAATGATGGTCAACAAAGTAGGCCAATAAGATCATACTTCGCAGACGCAGACAGTGGGGAGCAACGAACCTGATATTGTCTGTCCCACACAGCATTATTGGCTGTATCACATCATTTTACGCTCTAGTTTACCCAGGCACGTCAAGGTTTCGCCGTTTCCACCTGCGCTCGTGGATATGTAAAACTCCGCCTACCCAGATGTTGCACACATCCACCTCTTCTATGAGTCAATTGATTTCTCATGAATTCGCAGGCGAACCGATAGCACGTTTTAGATAGTTGTTCAGCAATGGTGCAAAGTGGCGTTGCGTCGTCGTAGTGCTCTAGTATGTTAGTGTATTTGGAGGAGCATCTTCCTCTCTGGACCAAATTCCATCCATTTTCCAGCAATCAAGTGGAATAATCGCATTGGTTGATCAAAAATTGTTATCTGATAATCTAATACTATTATTGGTAGCTAGAGAACAGAACAGAACAGAGAAGGTTTAAGAGGGTCAGCAAAAACACGCAAATATCAATAGTCTGCATCGTGTAATTGTCTGGCAGTCATTACACTGTACCTGCCACCTTGAATTTTTGATCAGCCAGTCGGGACGGACAGGTTTTCTCGAACAGCCAGTTAAAGCGGACCGGTGACCATAACAATGTGGGCAGTGCATTACCTCAATCCAACGTCGCTTGACAATGAAAGATCTGTGAGCCAACTCGATCCTTGCTCATTGCTCTTCTTCCTTCGTGTAAGCTCTTCCGGAGCACATGTATTTTCTGTGTTTATGAGAGCCAAACACTTTTGGAATAATTCAGCTAATTCATCATCGTCACTTCCACTTCCTTTGAATGTTCGATACTTTGGTTGCAGGTCCCTTTGCGACTTCTCGGACCCTACTTTCACGTCCTTAACTCTTCCCAGTTTGATCTGTCTCTTCTGAGGAACAGATTCTCGCATCGACGAGAAATGTACAATTCATTTATTTACCTTATTTAATTTATTACCGGTAGTAAACGCGCATTAATGGATTATGTAAGAATTTTCATGCATTGTGTGTATCCTCGTTCCTTTAGGTGTTGTCTATCCCCTATTCGTCTCCAACTTTGTGGGAATTGTGTTCAGTCGCTCGCTTCACTACCAGTTCTACGTTTGGTACTTCCACACACTGGTCTTCTTGTTGTGGAGCGTCGATCGGTTCTCCAGTCCAGTAAGGTGAGTTCGCATGTCACTTCGTTACAAACCGTTTTTCGTGCATCACACGATTTTTCTACTGATGTAACACCTTGCCTACGGTAACTACAAGATAATTCAATAGCAGTATGTACAATACAAACGACCAAGCCATTACAGCGGGATGAGACTTTAACTTGGGGAAACAGTCCGCGTGCCTCGTTGCTCCATGAACTACACCAATTAGCGGTTCCCATGCCAATCATATCAATGATTGGAAGTCAGGTGAAAATTTCCCAACTGCCTCTTAGCTGTAATGCGAAAGACAAGTGTTTGACAGCTAACAACTCGTCTGGACTCGCATGGAACACACTCACCATCTCTGGCGCTCACCAGCCTTTTACATCCTAACTATAAGTAGACATCTCCTGGCCAACAAGGTGCAGACGCACCGGGATTCACATGTAGTTCATCGCGTATGCAGGTGCATCATAAAGCGGGATGATGGGACAGAAAAATTTTCTTAAACTTCTCGCAATTGTAACTAGTCTCAAGTAAGTCCACGTGATTTATGCCGTAACACTTCCAATGTAGACCTGCTCCACACTGCCTTGTGAACCAGACTATTGAGTGCAGAATCACATCGTCATCAGTAGCATTACATCAGCAACTTGGAAATGATGCTTGGGAATGAACCGGGTAGCTATATGCTGGACCCGTTCCAGTCTCTACACCTCACCTATTGTGATCGGGCAATAGATGGGTGAGCCGTACACAAGCAACGGTCTTATTATGGAAGAGAACAGACGGGTGGCAATCTCTTCAGGCAAAGTGCAGTAGCTGCGTCTAAATGTCCAAAGCAGGTGCAGTCCGTTTGCTTACAGTCCTTACAGCTTACAGTTTGCTTACAGCGTGAGAGTACGCCTAGATCGTTTACAGAACTGGTGGGATGCATTTGGTGGCCGGCCGGGGTATACGCACGCCCATTACCACCCCTCCCCAGGCTCATAACGAGGACTTGGCCGTGTTGACCGGTAGGTCAACTTCTGCAGACCACCGGGATAGGCGGTTGAGGTCCTACTGAAAGACGTCACAGTCGCCGGGAGATTTAATAATCCTTCAAATCTTCACGTCATCCGCAAATAATACGCTGGGTAGCCGAAGAAGCTGAGGTATTTCGTTGATGTGAATCAGGAATAAAATGGGCCCCAGTACTGTGCCTTGGGGTACGCCGCTAATGGACGGGTACCATTGCGTTAGGTGATCATCCACCTGAACCGGCCATCTTCTCCCAATAAGGAAGTCACTGATCCACTGGTGCAGTGCGCCACCAACACCACACATCCTCAGCTTGTGGAGCAAGACTTCATGATTCACTTTATCGAAAGCTTAACTGAAAGCAATGTAGATAACATCTACTGACTTCCTCCGATTCAACGCTTGCAACCATTCTTGCCGCGTCAATAGCAGGTTGGTGACGCACGAGCAGCCTTTCATGAAGCCGTGCTGTGCCTGCGTTAGGAGATCTTTCGACTCCAGCAGCTGGAGAAGACCATTTTTCACAATCTTCTCGAGCACCTTCGCCAAAACAAAGGTGAGCTAAATCGGCCGGTAATTATCCACCTTGCGTGGGTCATCACTTTTTGGAATCGGCTTCACTACCGAGCATTTCCAGTCGCTCGGCAATACACCTTCGGACAGCGATCTGTTGAACAGATCCGTCACGGCAGGCGAGATGTTGCTCGATAAGGACTTCAAACTTAGCGGATGTGGTCCATCGGGTCCGGCAGGTTTCGTGCCATCAAGACTGCCGAGTAAACTGCGGATATCCTCTACACCGCAATCAAGGCTCTTGAGCTCATTAGGGGCTGCGGACGTGGAGTTTGTCATAGGCGCATGCCCACTTGTATATACGGATGCGAAGTGCTCCGCCAATGCGGACGCATGTTCAGTGCTGGAGGTCAGAGGCTGTCCGTCAGTGCCCTCTAACCCAGCTACCTAACTTTCGGGCCTCAGGCGCCGTTTCACGTATGCAGAAATCTTTTTGGGGGCCGTCTTCGCTGAAGTTGTATGCTCCTCTTCGAACTGCCGACGCTTTTGCGCTGTTGCACAAATTCCGCTGCCCGTTGTACGCCTCGTAATCGTCGGCAGAGCCAATTGACTATACTCTCTGTCTACCCAATGTGGCTCCAGTGGTCCAGCCTTCCGATACTTGAGAGGTACGAAACGATTGCACACCCTCTTTTATAACGGACCAACAGACTTCAACAGAAGAATCCTACGGCAGCGACTAATCCATTTCGCTGGTGTCTCAATTTAGACCATTGAAGTCGCTTTTCAAATAATTGTAGGACGGCGTCGGTAGATGCGAGTAGGGCTGCGGCAGCTCTAGGCTGGCTAACACCCTCGAGTGGTCACTAGCTGCCAGAGGCTCCAGCACCTGAATTTCATGTAGACGTTGCTCGCAACTCGTTAGTAGTAGGTCCAGGCACGATGGAGTGGAATGCGGTGTAATGCGCTTCGGTTGGCAGACATGTTGTGCTACCTCATTTTCAATTACCATCTCCGCAAACTGTGCCCCGATTTCACAGTGCCCGGGTAAACTTGAACCTCAGGTCTCCGTATTCGAGGGAACTTAAAATCACCCATAAACAGAAAGCGGGGCTGACTCATGTAGTTTCTGGCATGCGGCAACCAATCCAGGCATCGCGGGCTGCGATAAACAGCACCCACAAACAGTTCACCCTGTTTCAGGCGGATCGAGCACCAAAACTATTCGCAAAAGCCATCGTCGCTACGGTAGGTGTGTACCAGTCTCCCGCAAAGCGAGGACCGAATATATAACAGCACGCCGCCTTGGTCGTTTGGTACTCTGTCGCGCTGGAAGCACGAGTAGCCACTGATCTGGACTTCCTGGATAGTGACTTCAGGATTTAACCAGGTTTCGACCAGTCCTAGTACGGCCGGACGACATGAGGCAACGAAGTGAAATACATCGCCAGTCCGCCGCTTCATATCCACGCTAGCGGACTTCAATTTCTCTTTCTCCGACGGATCCAAATCGGGACAAAAATGGATCTTTAGATCTCTTTGCCTACCGAGGCGGGATAGTATCAGCCTCAGACTGTTTGCATCAACAAAGGTGACTCGCGGAGGCCGGGATTTTCACTTCTCTCTTCAAGGCGTAATTTGCTTCACCTGCAACCCCTGTTCATTCACGTCGAGAAGCCTATAAATCAGGCTCTGTAGAAAATCTGCGTCGTGGTTATAACGAGCCTGAGGACTAGCATCCGTCGAGTCATGCGCGTGAAATGTCACAAGCTTACAACGCCGCTGATTGCTGGCAATTGTCTTCTCCTTTTTGCTTCGCTGCATTCTCCATTGGCCTTCAACGCCTGCGCTATCGCACACCGGTATGTTAGTGTCCATAGGACGCAACACAGGCACGCCAGCTGAGTCTCCAGCAACGGGTGGACATCGCGCTGGAGAGCCTGCAGCCGGTGTGCAGGTGGGCTCGTTCGAACATAGGTGCGACTGGGTTTCCGCTTGCTTAGATTAACCCACGGAGCTTCTCTCTATGGAACGTTTTGCGTGGCCTCTCGGTTGTTTGTGACTGCACAGTGGCTTAGCATTTCTTGCACAATATTTGGAATAGTCATGCTGGCTTTCACGCAGTAGTTTAAAATAATCTAAAGACAAACAATATACGAAATGTGCAAATTCACACCACATATGAGGCATGTAACAGCATTGGTTCTATACCACAGGAAGTCAGCTTTGTCATTACTGATAGCTTAGCAGATGTGACGGTATAGATGATGAAGTGAACGTTTAGTACACGATAACAATACCAGAGTACGATAAACGAACACGAAACTAACACACAATAACCAAATTCAGAATCGCAAAAGGAAATAAATTTGACAAAAAGAAATACGAAAACCCTTCTCCGCACAAAATAATGATTGATGCAAACTGGCCTGTCAAGTAGAGCGAGAAAAGCAGTTCGGCGAGTGCTATTCCTAGTCGGCTGGAGGTCAAAACGCGTTTCGCCCCATTGGGGCTTGTCAATGGTGCACATTCCCTTGGTCGCCTAATAGGGATCGAACCCATGACCGCTAGAGGCAGATGCCAACTAGGCAGCAGCTTAAGCCACTGAGTCATGGGGACAGGCGTGTGTCAGTCTTGAAGCAGCACTTTACACTCAATCGCCGATCGGTCTCGAATGGTTTACATGCTCAGTGAGTCGTCACCATGTAAGCCGACATCATCAGCATAATCTAAGTTTTCTTCTCGCTTGCCCGGTAGTAGCTGTTGATCAACATTTTGGTAACAGTCTAGTGTTTTTGACACGATGTCTTCAATCGCAAAATTGAAGAGAAAGGAGACATAGGGCAGCCATGTTATAAACCTATTTTGATAATGATAGACGACGAAAGATTGCCATAGACTCTCACTCTGCCGGAGACATGGAGTTCGCAGGTTGGTTGTGTACTTTTCTGGGACCGCATATCCCAGGTCGATTAACCGCGTCGAATCCAGCACTGATGTCTAGGAATGCAACGATGGTAGGCCTCTGGTAAACATGTTGGTGTTCCTTGATTTGGTGGAGCGTGAATATTTGATCCACACACCCGCGGCCAGCTCGGAAGCCAGCTTGTTCTTCGCGGTATTTCGATTCACCAATAGTAGATACTCTATGGAATAGAATGAATGTCAATAGTTTGGAGGCAACCGAAATGAGACTAATCCCCCAGTGGTTGGTGCATGAAGTGTGAACACTTTAAAAATCGGGACAATAACTGACTCGCCCCAAGAAGAAGGCTCCTTTACTCCAGATTTTGGGGGACAGGGCGGTTAGCTGGATAATGAAAACTGCGCCTGCGTGCTTGAACAGCTCCAAAGGATGTCCATCTGAGCTGGCAGCCTTGTGTCGTCTCAGTTGTCTAATCGCAAGACAAACTTCTGCTCCACTGGGCGGATCAAGAGTGACGACCCAAGGCGGTCAGCTGGATTTTCAGGACATACAAGAGGATGGTAGG